GAAGCAGCTGGAGCACAGAGAACACAGCACCCTGATGGGTTTATTTTTACTGTAATCTGTGCATTCCTGCCCCAGGAATCCTGCCTGAGATCAGTTCTGCTCCTGTACATGACTTGTTGCTTGCATTCGGGTGTGTGGGTGCTGTTGTGTGAGGGTAGTTTTTTTGTTTTGGTTTTTAGTTTTTTTGTTTTGGTTTTTTTTAAGGTCTCTTCTTACTGCTGTGTTTCAGCTGTTTTCTGCCCACTCTTTGGTAGATTTGGGATTGGTTTTTTGCTTGAAATTTGCAGCCCTTGTATAATTGGCATCCCCATAGTGATCTGTCTGGTTCTACTTCTCTGTTTTAGAAAGGTACTGGCAAAACAGCTGGCAGAGCTCTGAGCCTGAGCAAACACATTTCTTTTAATAAGTTTTTACTTTTAAATAAATTAATAAATAAACAAAATTCTGCCAGTAAAGATATTCTCATCTCTGTATCAGAGGGGCAGAGTTTCCTGCAAGAACCTTAAGCTCCTCTCCTCAGGTAGCAGCTGTCACCCTTGGGCTCTGTGTTGCTCCAAGCTCAGTCACTCAGTAGTGAGGCTGCAGATCTCCAGAGTCCAGGGGATTGGTTTGACTTCCCACATAAGAAAACCTCTCTTTCTGGGCTGTTTCTCCAGGATTTGAGTGTGTTGCTCTGGTTGTTGAGGATTGAAAAATAACTATTAAGAATGTTAAGTAGCTTTTAGGAAGGCCTGAGGTAATGCAGTGCTGGAGAAGATGCTAAAGAGGAGTTTGATTTACAATGGAAATTCCTGAGGAGATCTGATTTCATGGCAGTTTACGTGTAGCAAAGCAGTGTCAGGTGTTTTGTGCATTTATTAAAGAGTCTGCTAGGAACAGGCTTTGAGCTCTGCCAGCTCCCAGCAATGTTCAAGGTTCTGACCTCTTTTTCATAGTTTGATCTCACTGGAGCTTAAAAGGAGAGTGGTTCAGTGCTGTGTTCAATGTCACTGCGCCCCTCGGTTTGGAAAGGAGGTGGGGGAGGCAGAGTTTGTGTCCACTCACACCAGGTTTTGGACACTTAAACCAATTTTAAAAGAGCTTTCCTTGGGGAATATCACAGATCATCAGCAGACACCCCCCTGTGGTTTGATGCAATAAGAGGGTTTTGCTTCCATTGCAGGGGGGAAACCAGACGACATCACCGTCCTCCTGTCCATCGTAGCCGAGTACACAGACTGAGGTGCTGCTGCTGCTGCTGCCCGAGCTCCCCGGGCCCCTGGGCCGGTTTCCTGCTGGCAGGATTGTTCCTTCCTTCCTTCCCAGCTGCTCCTGAGCCCGGAGCCTGGCCCCAGATGCAGCTGAGGCCCTTGCTAAGAACCACTCGTAGTCCACTGGTCTTGGTCTGCCAGCAAGAGATAAAGAAGCTCAAGGCTTGGAGCTTGTCTTTGAGAGCTTGGTCCTTGTCTGGAACAGGGGAGGATCCATCCCACGGCGTTGCTGCATTGGAGATGTGACTTTCCAAGGAGTGGGATTGGTGGCCACCTTTCACACTAGATCAGTAGGTAACGCCTCTGCAGAGGGCACCTGACTCTATTTCCTAGGAACGTTCGCTGTTGTTGAGGGTGTGTTACAGACCCAGTTCCATAAAGCATAGTCTTGTTCCAGTGATAGCCCAGGTTTTGTGTTTCTGAGCTCCGGTTTTCAGGAGATTTATAACTGCTGTAAACATTCTGCTCTTGCCATCCATGGTGTCAGCCTTAGGAGCCTTTTCTAGTACGAGATTTCAAACAAACCTAGTTCAAGTTATATGGATGCAAATGTGTTTTGTGATTTCAGGTGCTTAACTGTGATCTTAAAAGTTCTGCAGATCATTCGTCCATAATGGGCCTGGTTCTGGATGTTTTGGCTGTGGATAATTATTATTTTTTTTAAACAAAACTTCTAGCTCAGTCTCAAACAGCCGAGCTGGCCACAGTTGAGGTCTTTCAGCATTTGAACCCATCTCAGCCTGGGATGATGGTAAATGCTGCGGTGGGAGGTTGCACGAAACAGCTCATCCTCAACTCCGAGCGGCTTCACTTTGGGTAGATAATTCTGTTGTTGATATCAAACATAATTTGTGTTAATAATTGCCACTCTTGCTTGTAGAACAGAATATGCTGCACCAGTTTAAGTCCAGTTGATCCTTTCTGACTCCAACAGGCACCTCCCTGCTTCTGCTGCAGCAGCGGCAGCAGCGAGTACGAAAATGGAAACTTAATGAATAATCAGCAAAGCCTACATTTCATTTTAACTAAAGTTTAGGGGTTTCAATGATCCTAAATGATGTTTACAGTTATCTAACAGCCACTTTGCAATATGACATTTCCTTTTCAATGACAGTAGCTCACGTTTGTCCCCCCTTTTCCAGCCAGCTTTCCTTTTCCTTTCCTGAGGCTCATATGAAAGCTGAGAGCTGTAAAGATATATATATTTTTGGTCAGTTTTTCATTAACTTTTTTGCTGGTAGAGAAGTATGTAGAAATAAATTAAAGCCATGTTTTTATATATAAAAAGTCGGGTAATGTTGCTGTTTAGGTGAGTGCAGTTAAACTTGGTCAGTAAGGAATCTTGTCTGCTCTCAAGAGGAGATTTTTACTACCTGGTTTATTGTATTAAAACTGTTTAAGTTTGAGGTTACCTCAACTTGTTTAAAGAATTTTTGTGGACTTGTACTGTATATTTGCGTAACTATGTCAAGCTTTTATTTAAGGTCATTTAACATGTACCATGTACATGTCATTTTACTATATTTCAGTGCATCATGCTTGTAACAGGCATTTCATTTATAATAAGTGATTAATTTGGGAGCTCTTCAGTAATTTATCTGCTATTCCTCAATTGGCATAATGTTAGATATCTACTTTAAATCACCTTGTAATTACTCGTCAAAATGCCTTAACTACCCTAACTTGACCAAAATAGGATTTTGGTGAGGGTATTGGGAGGATTATATTAATGAAGAAAAATTAATTAGTTTTGCGACACACGAACAGTGAGTGGTGGAGAACTTTGCACAACCTGTCAGTCCTTGTTGTTTTTAACCTGAACAAGCTGTCTCTGGCTGTCTTGGAGGAATGTATTCACACGCAGAACAGGGCTTTGTTTCTTGTTTGGGAGGGGCTTCTCTCCCGACTCTGGCTGTCCTTACATTTATCCAGTATTTACTTGCACGCTTCTGGATTAGAGCAGATTTGATCAATTCTTCTTTTCCTCTGCCCCGTGGCCCCGGGCTGTTCTCTGCTCTCAGCACAGTCCCCAGCGCTCCCTGTTCCCCTTCCCGGCTTTCCAGAGCTTTCCCTGGGGACGTGTGCGGGTCAGAGGGTCTGGAATTCCCCCATTCCCGCTCTTCCCTGTCTGTGTCCACAAAGCCGTTTGCCTCATAGCACACCATGACCTGTTGGGTTTTTTTAAATAAAGAACAAATTTGGGTTTTGATTTACAAATCATGAGTTTTTCCCTCACCGGGCACACCAAAGACCAGTAAAGCTTTTAGCTTTTCCATCTGTTTATAAAGCAATACTGTATTATAAAGAATTGATATTTTTATCACATGCTTGATTGTTTTGGGTTTTTTTTAAGACGTGCACTCTGAACATATCAAACCTGATTTTTTCCTATGAACTTAATGCTGTCTGCGCACAACTGATCTTTGGAGAAGGAAAGGACAGGGCCCATCCTATCAAAAATAATTCCCAGCGATGCATGAAGCAGTAACACTTGCTAGGGTTAGGTCAGTGGGAATGTTCACGAGAGGAATGTACAGAGAGGTGTTTGCTGAGCCTTGGAGCTGCTGCAGAGGGTTGTGGTTTGTGTTGGGAGCTGCTGGGTTGGGAGCAGGGACCTGGAGGAACCCAGGATCAATGGGGATTTAATGCCCCAGGAACCCGGGATTGCTGCAGCAGCGGCCGCGGGGATTGGGTGGGACCGGGCGAAATGTGGGGAATTGGAGAAGCTCTGAGGCTTTTGCTGTTTCCTGGCTATCTTTGGGAGAGCTGCCACATACAGTCCTAAATGTCCTTGTCAGGCTGAAAACAAAACCAAACCAAAAACCAGATTTGGGACCAGGCAGTTACAAGTGAGTTGAGGAGAAGGGAGAGGTGATGATCTGGCAGGGATGGGAGGGTTTAGTGATGGAATGTCCATCCCTTGGTGAGGGACATCCTTTGTGCAGGGGAGGAGCAGCTGCTGTGTGGAGAACCCGACTGTATGCAGTAGTTTCTGACAAAGATAGCTGAAACAATGAAGCAAATCTGAGTCTGTATCTGAGGATGCTTTTTTGTTGCTGTTAAAATGAGACTATCATCTATGCTTACCCAAGAGGCAATTATGTGAATTTCATGTCTGAGGTATAACTTATGCAGGAATAGTTCTGTAAATACATTTAAATAAATTGTAAAGATATTTAATAAATATAGTATTTATACTAAAATGTGCTTTTTCAAGTCAAGTTGCCTGCAAACGCTCTGTTTGTTGTGGGGATGTGGTTGGTGGCACAGCCAGGGCTGGGGGCTGGGCTGTCACTGTGCCCTCCCTGCCCTGCTCTCAGCCACGCCTGAGTGACACCCAGCGCCTCCTGCAGCAGTCTGGCACACAGATAAGGACCCTTCAATTGACTGGGAGTTCAGTGTCGTGTTCCAGGGTGACTTTGGAAACACTGCACTGCCCTGACGTGTGCTGGGAGAGACACAGGGAAGGAAAAGAATAATGCAAGTCTCAAACACAAACCTTTATTTTTTAAAGTCCTGTGACAACTTCAGTTTTTCAGTTACAGGCTGGTTCTAGAGAATCTGTAAAACCCTGAGTTCTCCCTTAACCAGAACAGCGGCTTCATGTGCCTGATGTGGTAACAGAGCTTGAATTCAAACTGAGACTCTCCAGTGAGAGTGTTCTGAACCCCCAGCAGTTCCTGCAGAGCACACAAACCTCAACAGAGTCAATCATGACCTAAATTTGTGCCATTGCAAGAGCACTGAGGGTTCCAGAATGTTCTGTGCTGCTGGGTCACAGCACCAGTGACAAAGGCTGGGCCTGCCCTGCCCTCCCCTCCCGGGCCCTCCCCACTGTCCCTGCACTACAGCACTGGGGAGCTCTGCAAGGCACCCAGCTCCTCCTCGGTGTCACTGGCTGTCACCAGGCTCTGGAAGGTGCCACCAATGGCCTTCTCCTTGTAAGAGACAGCTCCGAAGAACAAGGAGTGGAACTGGAAAATGCAACATTTGTACAGGTAAGAATTGTGTGATGCAGAATTTGGGCATTAATTATTTGTGAAGCTTTTGCCACTCTAAGATCTCTCTCAGCCAGCAGCATCTCCCAGTGAAACCCACCTGCCCCCCAGGAGTCTCCCAGCTGTGCTGGGGTTTTCCAGCTGTGCTGGGGTTTTCCAGCTGTGCTGATCCCACTGAAACCCCCAGTGCATGTGGGGGTGCTCAGCCCAGCAGCAGCCGTGGGGTTCCAGTGCTGGCAGTTCCCTCACCTTGGCATAAGGAGCCTCTGTGGCCTCTCCTGCTGCTGCCGGGGCTGTGGCTGCTCCTGCTCTGCCTGGCCCATCCCTCTCGGTGCCTCTGGGAACATTTTTTACCTCTTGTTTTGCCAGAGCACTCGGGGGTTTTGCAGGGCCTGTGCTCGGAGTGTTTCCCTTCTGCTGTGGCTTTTTGGAAGTGGCTGTGCCTGCGTTGCTGGCTCCATCCATGGAGGTCTGGTCACATTTATCCATGCCAGGCCTTGAACTGGATTGGACAGAGTAGGTTAAGTTAGAGCTGGCTTTGTGTTTCATTGGAATATCCTAATTTTCTGTTTGTGAAAAGATTACAGAGCTTCAGAGGGGATTCTCAGCAGGTTCCCTCCTGCTGCCCCCAGAGCCTGAGGAGATGAGAAAGCAGCAGCTTTCTGTACAGAAAAGTGTACAGAACGTTCTCTCTTGCACCCCCTTAGTGCTGTTGTGCTGCTGAGATGTTCCTGAACCCCTGCAGTTCAGTTTCCCTGTGAAAAGCTGAGCTTTTCACCCCTTTAAGGCCACCTGCCCCCTCAGCCCCTGTTACCTGTCCCAGGGCCGTGGGCAGCAGGCAGGCTCTGCCTCCTTCTCAGCCTCACACAGGGTGGCCAGGATAAAGCTGGCCTCCAGCAGCAGGTCCTCAATGCTGAAAGCAATGGGTCTGAACACAAGGATTGAGACCAAACAGCACAGGGAATTACAGATCCTGTGATTCCACCTATGCAATTAAAAAGCTCCTCCTCTGAAAAGCTGCAAATCTCCTGGATTTGCTGCTGAGGAATGAGAGAGGGGCTCCTGGTACAGATCTCACTGCTCCAATCAGCAAATGCTGTGCAGTGTCAGAGTCAAATGATAGCATTAAATATGTAATTATTAAAATGATATTTATTCAGAAAATGTATTGTTTCTTTAAAGTGCTAAATAAATAAATCATTGCCTGCAGGGGACTGAGAGCCTCAGGTGTCCAGGTAATTTATACACAGGAGCTCATCAGTCAGCACAGCTGCCTTGGCAATGCCCATGCCTGGGTTCAGTGTTTATATGGAATTACAAACTCTGCAGTGCAGCTCAGAAATGGCTTTGGGTTTGAAATGAACCTGCAGTTCAGTGTTCATGTGGAATTACAAACTCTGCAGTGCAGCTCAGAAATGGCTTTGGGTTTGAAATGAACCTGCAGTTCAGTGTTCATGTGGAATTACAAACTCTGCAGTGCAGATTAGGAATGGCTCTGGGATTGAGCTGTTTGGGATGAGGAGCTGCAGTTCAGTGTTCATATGGAATTACAAACTCTGCAGTGCAGATTAGGAATGGCTCTGGGATTGAGCTGTTTGAGATGAACCTGCAGTTCAGGGTTTATATGGAATTACAAACTCTGCAGTGCAGCTCAGAAATGGCTCTGGGATTGAGCTGTTTGGGATGAACCTGCAGTTCAGGGTTTATATGGAATTACAAACTCTGCAGTGCAGGTTAGGAATGGCTCTGGGATTGAGCTGTTTGGGATGAACCTGCAGTTCAGTGTTTATATGGAATTACAAACTCTGCAGTGCAGCTCAGAAATGGCTCTGGGATTGAGCTGTTTGGGATGAACCTGCAGTTCAGTGGCCCTGGGGAGTGCAGGCCCTGCAGGGCAGCCCCACACGTACCTCCCACTCCTGTCCAAGTGGACGGACACAGGGACGCTCATGGCTTCAGCAAACGCCAGCAGCCCCTGCAGAGAAGGGTGGGGTGAGGTGAAGTTAAACCAGAACACTGACACTGGAATGGGAGTTTATCCCAGCTGCTGTTTACTGGCAAAAAGAGGGGAAAATTCTGCTGCTTCTAAGCTGGTTTCTGTCCTTCCCTGCCAGAGCCTTGCCAGAGGAGGCTCTGCATGGAGAACTGCCCTGGTCCCAATGCTGTCCCTGGGGCAGCTGTGCTGTGTCTGCCCTGCACAGAAACCTCATCCCTGTTTCAGAAGTGTTTGTTTGCCTTTCAGAGGACCCTGGGGTTTAAAGCTAATCCTCACCAGGTGCTGAAACCCTGCTGCAGTCAGGAGGGCTGGTGGGGCACAGGGACCATCCCATGCTGTCCTGGTCCAGTCAAGCAAATCAATGAGAAATGGGTTTTCTTCCCAGACAAATTCTTACTTTACCCTCAGTTCTTTAAGGCAAAATGTCACTTCAGAATCTACTCCAACTTGAAAGTAGTCAAATTCCTCTGGACTGAGCTGTATCTCAGTAAGCATTGTCCTTGAAAAGTCTGTTTGAGATAACAACAAAGTCAGGGGCTCACAGCAGTGAAGTTTGAACTCAACAAAGCTGTGATTGTAACCCTGAGGTTTTTTCATAAGCATTGTTTGAACAAATAATTGTGTTTTTATAGTGACTAATATTAATAAATGTTTAGCTTATATGCACATTAGAATTAAGTAAAATCCTCCATTTCTTTTCAGTACATTGTGTAGATCTGAATGGATTTGAACAGAACCTATTCCATGTTGTGCTGTGTGATCTAACCTTGCACCTGCTGCTGTTCTTGCAGATCTGCTTCTTCCACAGGCATCCATCACAAATAATATTCCCAGCTGCCTATTGTTGCATGGATGGGAAGCCCAAAATGCAGCGTGACTTGAAGAGATTAATCAAAATTACTGACAATCGCCAGACACAATGGAGGTGGACAGAGGCTCTTTGTTTTAAATGACAATCGTTTCCTGACACAGGAAAGTGGCAGCAGGAAATTGGCTGCTCACTTTCAGGTATTCAGGTTTTTGTTACCACGAGGTGGCTCCGTGGCTGTCCATGGGTGTGTGAGGAGAGAGGGGCAATTTCCTGGCTGTGACAGTCCTGGAGAGCTCAGAGAAATCCCCCAGCAGGAAGTGCTCCAGGCCATTCCCACTCTTCCCTTTCTCTGCTCCCTTGTTTCATCTCCCATAGTTCAAAGAGGCTCTTTGAGAGGTTCCTTGTGGCTGTGGCAGGGGGTGTTTGATTCCTGTGGATCCCCCAGGCCAAGGACACAGAGGAGCTGCAGCCAGGGAGATTCCCAGCACCTCTCACTGCCTCCCCTCCCTCCCCTCACAGAACCCTTGGTATCTCTTCACACTTGAACCATTTTTCACTTTCTTTCTTACAATAGTCGTGGGAAGTGAATGTTTCTGAAGGGACCAGATGTGTCATTCAAAATGCAATCAATCTCTTTCTTTGCCCCGTTTCACTCCAGCCACTTTCTGCCCCTTGATCCTCTCTCAGCCTGGTCCCAGCCCAGCTCCCAGCCCTGAGCTCTTCCCAGGTCCTTCCCCCAGCTGTGGTCACAGGTATGAAATTATATGATTATATTATTGATAGTATTATGATTATTATTACTATTATATGATACACAAGAACCTCTGCTTCAAAACCACAATTTCATCTCCAAAACTGGAGTCACACCCCAAGAATCTCCAGCTCATTCTCCACCTCCTGGAGATGTGACCATGGCATAACAGTGCAGGGCTTGCTGACACTCTGTGCTGTCCTCAGACTAAAATATACTCTCTAATGATATCAATTCTATAATTGTGGTATTCAGATTTAAATAGTTCTTTTTAAAACATGAAATTATCCCCTTTTTCCTGGCAGTTGCCAGGCTGCTGCTCTTGCAGCACAGTAATTACCTCTTTCAAAGCCTACAGCAAGTGGCATAATTTATTTCAATTGGCTGCTCAGTCTGAGATCTGCCACTGACACCGGGAAGATGTTTCAATTTATTTAAATTGATTTAATTTATTAAAACCAGAGGGTGGCAGCATGACTTGAAATCTCTCTCTCTAATGTTCTGTTAAAAATGTCATTCAGCCATAAAATTCATCCCACATTTATGTCGTGACAGTTATTATTCCTGGAGTTCACCTCAAAAAAAAAAATGTTAAAAGCCCAAGGATTGGTTCACATTTTGAATTTCCTTACCAGTGTCTTCCTCAGTGTAACTCTTGAAACAAACTTTCACTGGAGTTACTGACAGGGTTATTTCTTCCTGACTGCTTGGGAAGTGGATCATCACATCAGCCAGCAGCCTATAAGATGTCATTCAACACTGAAATAATTCTATCTATGACTATTTAGCATTTGTTACATTGAAAAGTAAAACTCAAAAAAAATATTTGTGTTTGTTACCTGGAGTGGACTTTAAGAATGTTTGGACACATGTGCTTTGCAAAAACAGCCTGCAAGGGATCACACTCCTGAAATGTCAGGTTATAGGTTTTTACAACACCTGAGTATGAAGGAAACAAACAAAAATCAGTGCTTGGCTGTAATTTCAGTTTAGTTGGGTTTTTTTAATATTAATTGTTCAATAGAGGAAGTAACCAAGTGACTTAGCCCAGCTCCATGGAAATAAGTCACCACAAAGAGGAAAAGAATCCACCTGCCATCTTAGGCTCCCTCCAGCCCGTTAGCTGTGCCTGGACAGCATCCGAGCTTTTTAAGGATCCACAAGAAATCAACCAACAAAAGGAGGGTGGGAAAGAGCCCCAGTAATTAACTGGGGAAAGAACAGAAACGGGAGTGGGATGCAGAACACAAACCCCACAGATCTCTGGGAGGGTGGGCTGAGGGAGCCCAGCTGTCTGCAGGCACAGTTCAGTGCATTATCCCACACCAGTGACCCCTTAGGGACACACAGACCTGCCTGAGCACACTCAGCTCTGGGGGGAGATGAGCTTTGTCCTGCAGGGGCTGATGAACACCCCCAGTGCTGCTGGGCTCAGGAGCACAGAGCTGTGCTGCTGATGATGATGATGATGATGATGATGATGATGGCATTAATTGTGGCTCCCTGGGAGCTCACCGTGCCTGCAGAGCAGCTGGAAGGTGATGTGCTGCTCACTGGGGCTGGTGCAGATGCTGCATTTCTCTACGTTCCTTTCCAGCACATTTACACATCTAAACACAGGGAGAACTGACTGAAAAAAAACCAAAAAAAAATCAGTGCAGAGCAGTTTTGCAATAAACATAAATTTCCCTGGGTTTGTACCCTGATTTATCTCAAGCTGCTGCTCTGAAGGCTTCCCCAAACTGCTCTGGGGCCACTGGGAGAGCCCAGGCTGATCCTCACCCACCACAATTTCAGCTCAATTTGCTGCTGTGTGTAACAAGTCACTAAAATGTACCTTAATTATCAATTTACAGGGGAGGGATGGCTGCTTCTCCTTCTGACAGGGCTGGCTCCCAGCTGTCCAGCAGTAATGCTGGAAAAACATGGATGAGAAGAACACACAAGCATATGCTGACCTCGAGGAATTCACTGATCTTAAGGCAAGCTGGAAATGGAATCACAGAGTCCTTAGGGCTGCAAAAGAACTCCAGCATCACTGAATCCAACCACTGAGGGAACAGGAGTAAAATAATTTATTAACTCAAAACTTAACCTTTTAAAAAGAGCCTCCTCTGGGCTTCAGTGCCACCAGCAAACCTGGAATTTACATCTCAAAATGATTTAAAAAAATTTAAATATGCATTTTTATTTTATTTTCATTTTTTAAATAAAAATAATTGAGTTACCCAAACACCCAGAGCTCAGCTTGTGTTTGCATTTGAGGGACATGATCCATACAGATGAGCAAAGACACCTCAAAAATCCCCCAGGTATAAAACAAAATATCTCCACTTGTGATTTTCCATCCTCCCAGTGAGCCAAGGAGAGTTGATCACTTTTACCTAAGGAACCTCTGGAGCAAACACTAATTCTGCTGGAAATGGGGTTTGATTAATCAGAGGCATTAATGGATGTGTTCTTCCTGTTGAGTCACAACAGTACAAAACATGTTGTTTTCACTCCTGTGTGGTACAAAGCCCAAACCTTGTGACCTGTGACAACAGGACTGACCCCTGTGGCATTAACCCAGATATCCTGGACAGCAAAAAATCAAAGGATCTTAGGGCAGAGTAGGAATGAAATCTTCCACAATAATTAAAATCACAGAAAATATGGCATGTGTCCATACTGAAAGTGGAGGGAGCTAAGAATGTGATGGACTGAAAGGTACCTGTGGAAAAACACAATATCCAATTGTATAAATACTGGGCTTATAATAAAGATTTTTAAATTAGAAGAAATAAAATTCACTTACACCTTTTTCTACAGGGTCAAACCAAAATTCATCACTAATCCGTGCTATGGCATGTATTGCTCTTCCAAACACTGCCAGGGAAAGAGAACACTGCAATATGCATTCCAAATTAAAATAAAATGATAAAAAGGTGGCCCTGCACTTTCTCCAGAATAATCCAAGAGGAAGCATTACAAATTTCTTATACATTCGAAAGAAAATGGATGGTGGAAACTGTTATTTTTTCTATTTAATTAAAATTTTAATTATCCAAACCCTCAATGTTTTGGAAAGCTGCCTCAGATGAGGCACCTCGGATGTCGCTTTGCAGCGCCTGGAGTTCCACAAATTAGGTCAATCAGACAAAACTCCACCGGGGCTAGAAATGACATTTAGCAGGGGGAAAGCCTGAGAAGCAAAGGGACATGTGGAGAAATGGAATCCTAAGAAACAGCGGAGCCCAGCAGAGGCCCTGCGGATCCGCCTCCGGCAGCGGCGGAGCAGCTTTTCCCTCAGAATGGAGCGGAGCTGTGCCCTGGAGCCGCACAGGGGACACGGAGCCAGGCCTGGCTGTCCCCAAATCCTGCCCATCCCAACAGGGCCCAGCCGCGCACACCCCGCACAGCGCCCGATCCCGCCGCGATGAGGGAGAGGCGGAACCCCCGCCCCGCTCCGCTCCCGGGGCTCGTGTTCCGCTCAGGGCAGTGCCGGGGGTGCCGCGTTCCCGGTGTCCCGCACCAATCCCCGCGTGTGCCGGGCTGCCCGGTGCCGGTACCTCGGAGCTGCGCCCCCCCGATCACGCACTTCATGGCTCTTCCCCTCCCTCCCCTCACGGCCGCCCCCCCGCTCCCCTCACGGCCGCGGAGGGCGGGAAACGCCGTGAGGGCGGGGCGGGCGCCGCGCGGAGCCCCGGAAGTGGAACTCGGGGATTATGGAATTGTGGAATTATGGAATTTTATGGAATTATGGAGTTGTGGAATTGGGGATTGTCCCGAGTTACCCTCAGGGATCTTCAGCCCAACCCCTGGCCCTGCACAGACACCCCCACAATCCCACCCTGTGCGTTCCTGAGAGCATCGTCCAGCCTCTCCTGGAGCTCTGGTAGTCTCCGGGCCGTGCCCATTCCCTGGGCAGTGCCCAGCACCCTCTGAGGGAGAACTTTTCCCTGATCTCCAACCTGAACCCCCCTGACACAGCTCCAGCCGCTCCCCGCGTCCTGTCCCTGTCCCAGAGCAGAGATCGGAGCTGCCCTCGGCAGCACCAGCCCAGGGACAGAGCCGGGAAACGCCCCCAACCCAAAAGAGAAGGGCTGAGCATGGCACTGATTAGCATGGGAAGCAAGAGAATCATAAACAATAGAATACTAATTAATAATGTAACTATGTAGCTTGTAGCCAATGAACATCAATTCTTTTGTTTCCTAAAATGCAAAAAGAGTAAAAAGAATTGATAGGCGGGGTGCTTGGATTGTGGGAGACCACGGAGGGCCCAGGCTTGCGCAACTCTGAAATAAATAAATAACCAGTGTTTGTCTCTCTCTCGTCATTATTGGCTCGTTTTGCGAACAACTCTCGTTTCACGTGTGTAAAAACCCAGCCAGCGGGACGCAGCACGGACGCGTTCAGCGCTCTATTGTCCTTTCGCAGGCGCCGTAGCGGAGGCGGTGCCTGTGCCGGGCGGTTCCGGGAGGGCCGGAGCGGAGCGGGCGCGATGGTGAGAGCGGGGGGACTCCGGGGGCCCCCCGGGATCCTCCCGGGATCTCCGGGCACACCGGAACCCCCGGCACGGCCACAACAGCCGGGCCCGACCCGGCCGGGCTGCGGGAGAGCGGGCGGGAGGGCGGCCCCCAGCTGAGGCGAGGCCCCCAGGGGGGTGAGGGCCGGGCCGCGGCTGCAGGAGCTCCGTTTATAATTTGTATTAATTTTATCGTAATCGCATTAATTTTTTTTAATTATTTAACGCTTCTTTCATAACATCGACAATTCATTAATTATGATTTGCCCGTTCATTTGGCTGTGTTTTCTCTTCTGTTGCTTCCTCTCGTTTAACATTGATCATGTTCCGCCCTGTTTCTCATCCCCTGCAATCAACTCCTCCATTCCAATCAGGCTGGGCACAGAGTAAGTCAATCCTTGGCTCTCCTAACACCCCTGGGAAGGGAAAGGCTCCTCCGTGTTCCTCCGTGCCACTGGCAGCTGGCTCCGATCAATTTAGGGGCTGCTGGCCCACCAGATCGCCCCCAAAATCCAGGTGTTTTATCATTTTTCGCCACTGCTTTAAGCTCTAGATACGCGTGGTGATTGAACCTTGCAGTGCTGTTCGGTTGGTTTGGTTACTGTAATGAATGGGAGCTGGAATGGGAATTCTGGGGAGGTGTGCGGCTGGTATTTGGTCAGCACAGGGGACATCCGTGCTGAGAGCACACGCTGCTGCTGGCTCAGTGGGGTGTGTGAGTGGCAGGATCATTTTATTAATTTTATTAAACATCAAATACATAACTGGTACTGCACACTGAAATCCCTCAGGCAACAGTGAGACAATGTCTATTGCCACTTATTAATCCAAATCACTGTTACCCAGTTTTGGTAACCCATCAAAAATGTCTTTTTTTTTCCCTCTTGGTTTCATTTTGTATTGGTCACTCATTGATTAAAAAGCTCTTGTATTGCATTACCAATACTTTCAACCATCTGTCTCCAGGTGGGTTTGATGGTGGCACTGAGATGTTCTTAATATAAAAAAAACAAACCCTAAACCAATCAAAAATACCACCCAAGCTCCCTCTGCCTCCTTGAGGACCGTTAGCCTGAAGGTAACTGCATGGCCTAAAAACCCATGAGGGAAAATAATCTTTAAAAATACAATTTTTAGCCTAGTTATATTTGTTTCTAGAAATAAATCTGGGCTGTGTCCTTTACAAACACATTTGAGGGTGTCCTTTTAGGAACTGCCCCTCTAACATGAAGCGGAAGATAAAAATCTCTTTAATTTGGAGCCATTCTTTGAGTTCCTAGGGCTGAGTGTTTCCAGATCCAGGGTTTTCCCAGAGCAGTGCCATAACATTCCCTGCTTTGTAAAGCTTCTCATGCCCTTTTTGCACAATTAATTTGCCCTGTGTTGCTTGCATTATTGCTTTATTTGCAGATTTAAGGCCTGTGCTGTTAAGCCATGGCCTTGCATCATCTCAGTCCTTGATTTTGAAGCCCCTCACTACATTTTTATTCTGGCATCTGAAACTGTAAATGTATAGAGGTGGTGACAGGAGCACTGTGCAGTGGCCTGGATTGGCTTTTCTGCAGTGCCCTGTTTCTATTTTGTTGTTATTTTTTAGCCTTGTTCAGTTTTTCAGTGGTTTCTGCCATGAGGACTCTGAATGCTCTTCCTCCTCTGGTCAGCTATTAACACATGCTGCAAATTTGCTGCTTTTTAAAAATATTTTGGGGTTTTTTTTTTTTTGTTTGTTTTTTTTAGTAAGGGTAGAGAAGCTTGGATGAAGAGATTTTTTTAAGAGAAGTGGCTGCAGTTTAGCCAGGTCTGAGAGAGAAAAAACAGTGGGATGGTTTATGGCAGCTCCCAAATTTGTGTAAAACACATCAGGTAATGCAACAGGGATGTGTTAACAGTGCAGCTATTGCTCTGTGGGCCTTCAGCAACAAACCACAAACAATTCTGTTTGTAAAGCCCCCTCTGCTCATGGCCTGGCAAAGCCCCTGGTGGAGCAAAATCCCATCCCCATTGCATCCTCACTGCAGCAGCTTTTGGGTCCAAATGCCAGGCTGGGGACACTGCAGGGGACAGTACAGTGCTGGCTGTGCCCTAAGCCCTGTGTGTCCCCTCTCTCTCTCTCTGTCCCTGTGTGTCCCCCTCTCTGTGTGTCCTCTCTCTGTCTGTCCCTGTGTGTCCCCTCCCTGTCTGTCCCTGTGTGTCCCCCCTGTCTGCCCCTGTGTCCCCCCTCTCTCTCTCTCTCCCTGTGTGTCCCCCCTCTCTCTGTCCCTGTGTGTCCCCCTCCCTGTCTGTCCCTGTGTGTCCCCCTCCCTGTCTGTCCCTGTGTGTCCCCCTCCCTGTCTGTCCCTGTGTGTCCCCTGTCTGTCCCTGTGTCCCCTGTCTGTCCCTGTGTCCCCTGTCTGTCCCTGTGTTCCCCCTGTCTCTCCCTGTGTGTCCCCCTGTCTCTCCCTGTGTGTCCCCTGTCTGTCTGTGTCCCCCCTCTCTCTCTCTCTGTGTGTCCCCCTATCTGTCCCTGTGTCCCCTGTCTGTCCCTGTGTGTCCCCCCTGTGTGTCCCCTGTGTGTCCCTGCAGTTGGTGCTGGTGCTGGGTGACCTGCACATCCCCCATCGCTGTAACAGCCTCCCGGCCAAGTTCAAGAAGCTGCTGGTGCCTGGCAAGATCCAGCACATCCTGTGCACAGGGAACCTCTGCACCAAGGACACCTATGACTACCTCAAGACCCTGGCTGGGGATGTTCATGTTGTCAGAGGGGACTTTGATGAGGTACTGTCTGCTTGTTTTGGGGTATCCTTTAAGTTTGTCACGTTTGGAGTTGATTCAAGTAAAAATGGTGGAATGAGTTCCTGAGCTCTCCCCTTGTGGGTGGTGCAATAGGGTTGGGTTTAAGTAGAAATCTGTCTAATCTGGGTTTGGTTTATTTTCTTTGTTTTTAGAACCTGAATTACCCCGAGCAGAAAGTTGTGACTGTTGGACAGTTCAAAATTGGGCTGATTCATGGCCATCAGGTGATCCCCTGGGGTGACATGGCCAGCCTGGCTCTGCTCCAGAGGCAGTTTGATGTGGACATCCTCATTTCAGGGCACACACACAAATTTGAGGCATTTGAACATGAAAATAAATTCTATATCAACCCAGGATCAGCTACAGGAGCCTACCATGCCTTAGAGAAGTAAGTGAATATTGGGGGGATTTTTTTGGTTTGTTGTTTTTGGTTTTTTTTTGGTACAAAACTGAACTACAACTCCTGAGGGTTAATATTTGTGGTTTAAGTGTCAGGGAGGGGATAGTTAGAGTTGTATAACTCACCCAGCTGGACTGGCTCAGTCTCCTGGACTGAAACATGAAATGCTCACAGCCTCAGATCTCTGTGCTGTACTTACAGAATTAATTCCCATTTTTCCTGAAGTGATTTCTGCTGAATAGTGGTAAAACTCCAAGAGGGTTATAGACACACAATCACTGTGAATTTTTTCCTCTCTTTCCAGCAACATCATTCCTTCATTTGTGCTGATGGACATCCAGGCTTCTACAGTAGTTACATATGTCTATCAACTAATTGGAGATGATGTGAAAGTAGAAAGAATTGAGTACAAGAAATCCTAAGAAATGTTTTTGCTTGTCTGGTATTTTTACCATCTCCTTCTGAACTGCAAGTTCCAAAACTTGCTTGCTCGTTTACAGCCCTGCACTGTCTCTAACAGCTCAACAATGTAACTTCTTGTCATGAATTTAAACAACCTTGTGTTTGCTTTTCTCTGTATGATTTGTAAAATATTCCATTAAGATAACTGTCTAAATACTGTTCCCTAATGTAATAAACTCCACTTCATAGAAAAGCTGAGCCTGGTGAGGTGGTGTTGGGGAGGAATGCAGCAGTTGTGGTGGTTTGGGGTTCCCCTTCCAAGGGGTGCTTGGACAGGGCTGGAACAGAGACTGAGGGCTCTGGGACCAGGCTGGGTTTGCTCCAGAACCCAGTTTATATTTAATTGTCTCAATTTAACATTCTCAGCTAAGTTCAAGGAGTAAAATGATAGACTGTGAAAGGATTACAATTACCTTGTAATTTCAGTAGAGTTTGAGTCTTTCAGCTCTCCCTGTGCTTTCCTGAGTGATGATCTCACTCAATGCATACCCAGTGAGGAGAGGCTTTCCTGTATTTTCCTTTATTTGTGGCTCACATCTGACACTCCATTTCCTGCTCTCTTTGCTCCATGCACAGAGGCTCTCAGTGATGAATTCCATGTGACTCAAAGCTGCTGAGGATAACCCTGGGTTGTCCAGGAGCAGCACCTTTGGCTCCTCTGTGCCCACAGCTGCAGGCACCTGAATGTATTGAACAGCTCCCCTTTCTCACAACTGCTGTAACTTTCCAACAAAACTGATTTTTACCTTTTACTTCCTCCATCAGAATGTTTAGGATGGGGGAAGTTTCCTTGGCCTTTGGGTTATGATTTTTCCATCAGCTGGAACCCTTCTTTCTGTGTGTGTCATGAGCTGACTGAATAACTCATTTCTATTCAAAATAAATCTGCTTTGCCCTGGATAAAAAGACATTTCAGGCTGGTGTCTCAAGAACCTCTGGCTAATTAGAAAAGTTGAAAAGAAAACCTTGGCATGTGAAATTCAGGGAATTCCGTTGACTGGAACATCAATTTATTGACAAATTCATAATTAAGAGGTTTATAGAATATTGTAAGGGGCCAAAATAGGTGCATAAGTTTATTTCTTTTTAATTTACATTGTAAGGCTAAACTTGACACACAAGTTTCTTTGTTTTTACTTAAGGCCAAAACTGATACATAAGTTTGTAAAGTTACACTTACAATTTGTCTACAAAGTATTTTACACGAACCACAGCCCCTGCAGTTTTAGAAGAGTTCATCACAGGGATGACAAAGGCCCTGGCAGCAGCCTGAACATGGGGAAAGCCAGAAGGAAAGGAAACAAATTTACTCCTTCCTAAAGTGCTGAGTATGAACTGGTGACTCCAAACAGGAAATTCTGCTGAGCCTGGACTGTTTTTGTGGGGGTGGAGAATGGAGGAGAAGCAGCCTAGAACAGCTGGGAAACGTGGAGAGGGACTGGAAGCTCCTGGTGAAAGCTTTGGGGTTTTAGTCTGATGTTCTCCTGAGCAGTACAAGAGTTGTGAATGCACAGCCAGGACAGGGAGGAGGGAAAAGGGGAAATCTCAACCTAATTTATGGCACTTCCAGGACACAGGACCCCTCTGATCCATCCAGGTACATCTGGAAGGTGAAAGAACAACATCAATAGGGCTTAGGAGAATGGGATGTGATCCAGGACACAGATGTGGCTCAGGTAAAATGAATTCTTTGAATTAATGAGGGGATAGTTTATTATATGCAGTACATGTTACTAAAGTGGATCAGCTACAAAGTATTTTTGCAAGAAGTCAGGTGAAAACCCTTAGAGAAAAAGGAGAAAACACTGCCTGAGGAGGAGAGATGGTTTTTTGTTTTACCTGCAGGAGATGAGATGCTGGGACATCTGCCAGAGCAGGGTTTCCACATTTCTTTTGATACTCTTGAATCAGGGTTGTTGCATCATCAAGGCTGTAAGAGGCAAAATTGGATCCTTTGTCAAATTAAGCTCTCTAAAAAGCCAAAAATTCAGACAACAGAAGCAAAAAACCAAAGTGTGATCCCATAGCTTGAAGTCAGATGGGCTCTGTCATTTCCCAGTAGAGGAAACAAGCCTGGCTGTTCCTTGGGCTGTTAATAAAACCCATAAATGCAGAATTTCAGTGTTCCTTGGTTCCAGCCCCTGTTTGAGTGCAGGACCAGGGGTAACCGTGCCCTGCAGTGCCAGGGCTGGGCCCCTCTCACCTGGGGCTGCTCTCACACCTGGGCACACTCAGAGCCCAGCCCAGCTCCCTTTGTGATTTAAATGGAGCACAAAAAGGGCTTTTAGTTCTTGAAAACTTCGTGGCAAGACCACCAATTCCCGAGTCTTCAGTACAGGCAGCTCATTTATTTTTTTCTGAGTGTTTTTATTGCTGAAACTGTGACCCTGTGATGCCCTGAGCTGGATTCACCTAAAGGTAAGGTCAAGGTTTTGATTATCTCACTCTGGTTGCTTCTATTTTAACTGCATTTGATCTGTTACCTGGTCCTGAATGGCTGTAAAACTCTGTCCTAGTGAGGTGAAATTTATTTTTTTATTAACTTATCAATACTTAAAAATCCCTGGAGACTAAATATTAGAAAACCTTCATGACTTCAAACAAAGGAAAATTATATAATGGTGAGATTTAATTCCTGCAATTGCCACCAGTTACAGCTGGTTTTTTACCATTTATTAACTTACCAGTTGTTTTTGGCAAAATAATCCACCAGCTCTTTTATTCTGTGGGTGTTTATCAGGTGTTGCTTTAAGAGTGGATAATATTTGGTTTTCCAGAACTGTTCATAGAGCTTCTCATTGATGATACTGTCCAGAACCAAAGAGCTGATCTGTAGATTTAAGTGTTAGTAATGAGAAGTGTTAATATTTTAGACAAATGTGATTTTACTTTTGAATGGAAAGAGCTCATAGTTTTCATATTGGACTCTACAGAGAATAGGTTTTGGTGGTTTTTTTACATTTTATTTAAGTGCTGTGAATTGGCAGATTTTTTGAAAACTGATCCCAGATTCAGAGAGGGAAGTGAGTTAAACTTGGCCATGGGGAGGCAGCTCAAGGCAAAGCAAAAGTGCAATTTCCTAAACCCTTGGGCTTTTTAGGCTCAAATATTTACTCAGGAAAAACAAGGGGGTTCTGCTGCCCTCCAAAGAGAGACAGCCCAGAACATGGCACTGGCTGTGTACAAGAAATTTATCAGTTGCACAACAGAAATAAAAATGCATTTTGCAAGGATTCTACATTTTTTGAGCATTCAAAGTCAAGTAAGGTTGGACAAGATCAGAGGAGAGAGAAAAGAAGGTCCTGTGAACACTTTTCTATCAAAAAACCTCCAAGTCAAAGGGAAGTAAATTTGATTTATTTACCTGGGAAGCAAATGCTACCAGTTCTCCAGTGTCCATGTGTTCATCCAATTGTTGCAGCACAGTTTCTTTCTTACAGGTTGATAACAAACCCTTGTGAAAAGAAGGTACAAAACATTATTATTCTGTGATTGATTAAAGCAGGAACACTCCCTTCAGAACAAATATTTGATTTATTCAGAAATCTTTTGAAATTCTAGGTGCAAATACAGAATTACCAAGCCAGGATCTGTGTGCTTGGACTCAAAGTGTTGCTTTTAACTGTCTCCAGTGGTGTTTTGCTGTAGCTGTCAGAGGATTGTTGGACTCATTGCCAGCAGGTTGTGTCTTACACCTCAGCTGTGATTTGGGGAAACCTTTCTGAGAGCAACTTTAATAACTGGAAGTCAAAGAATTTCAAGTGCCTTTACTGGTCCCAGTTTGCTGGTGGCAAAATATGGGAACAGCCTCTAATGCTTCATCTGGGAGAACAATGCAGAGCAGAAATTAATGGAAACAAATGAGAGGAGCAGGGAAAATGCCAAGGTTCATGGGTGGTGAGGACATGGCTGCAAGGCAGAAGGTTTCTATCAGAGCTGGTGTACATCAAACATCTTCCTTGGAAGTCAGGAGCTTTCAACTCAACTCCCTTCCAAAGTAGGATTCAGTGCTTTTTTTTTTTACCATCTGCTCTGGCTTGAGTTTTACTGGTTTGTTTTTTTTTTTCCCATGTGCTTTATGGGTGGGATCTCATAAAAACATCCTCAAATTCTCTAAAGGCAAAGTCAGATGACAAAGCCACTGGGGGTGACTGAAGATTTAAAAGGAAGAAGTGTTCACATGATCCCTTTAGAAGCCTTTGATGGTGGCAGATGTTGAGCATTTATCAGCAGGGATGTGCTGCAGTTAACTGGAATTCACCTTTGACTGCTCTGGTGAGCAGGACATGCTTGAGGACATTGCCCTTGCAGAGACAGGACACAAAACTTCTGATTTACCTGAATTTGCTGCTCTCTCTTCTCAGAGTGAGGAATGACCAGGAGGCAGCCCAGGGCAAAAGCTGGAAGGTCCAGCTGGGTGTATTGTTTAGCAATTCCAACGAGATCCAGGTCAGCCAGGACAGGACACCTTCAGGAGATCAGGAGGGAAGTTCTCAGCTGTGATTTGTTTAACTGGATGGCTCAGAGCTCTCAGCAAATCTGCCCTGAGATTTGGAAGTCAGGTAGGACAGCACATTTCTACCTCACATCAATGCCAGAAATAGCCAAGCAAGTTGAACTTTCACTGAATACAAACCCATGAGGATTTCCTAAAACCCCAAACCACACCTCCATCTTCTCTTTCTAAAGAGCCCATTTTGAGGGCAGTTGTTGCCCACTTGCCCAGAGCAGAGCTTTGGCACAGATGTGTGTGCACAGCAGCGGAGGATCCCTCTCCAGGTAACCTTCAGGGTCCCTCCCAACCCAAACCTAATTTATTTCCCAACTAACTTGGGCTCAAGTCGGGCTCTCTGAGCTCTGGTGGGTGTTTTGAGCAGGTCAGAGCATTGAGGTACTGAAATAAGGGAACCAAGAGCTGTTCACACTGCAAAGGCAGGGCAGGTATCCCTCATGCACAGCAGGGCTGGGGCCTCACCTGAGCAGGAGCACAAAGCCCTCCCTGCACTCCTGCAGCTGCCTGGGACTCGCTGGGCACGAGGCTGAGAAAGAGAGAGAGAGATCAAGGTGGAGTAAATGTACAACCAGGTTACTCCAGGAGCAGGGCAGGGAGTGCAGCCCCACCTGTGAGGAAGGGGGACAGGACCACGCTGCGCCAGGCTCGGCCGAAGCTGGGAATCTGAGGGCAACAAAGTT